GTCTATAGAAGCAAGCTGCTGCTGAAGGGCCCCCCGAGGCAGCTAGCAACAGCAGCAGCAGCAGCTACTGCTGCTGCTTCAGCTGCTGCCGCATGCAGCAGCAACAACAACTGGCGCTGCTGCTGCTGCTGCTGCATGCAGCAGCAAGAACAACTGGCGCTGCTGTTGCTGCTGCCGCATGCAGCAGCAACAACAACTGGCGCTGCTGCTGCTGCTGCTGCATGCAGCAGCAACAACAACTGGCGCTGCTGCTGCTGCTGCTGCCTGCAGCAGCAACAACAACTGGCGCTGCTGCTGCTGCTGCTGCCTGCAGCAGCAACAACAACTGGTGCTGTTGCTGCAGCTGCTGCCGCATGCAGCAGCAACAACGCCTACTGCTGCTGCTGCTGTATGCAGCAGCAACAACAACTGCTGCTGCTGCTGCTGTTGTATTCAGCAGCAGCAACACCTGCTGCTGCTGCTACTGCATGCAGCAGCAACAAAAACGGCTGCACTTTGTTGAAAGTAGTGGGGGGGTTTAGGGTTTGGCGACTAGGGTTTAGGGTTTCATGGCAGCAGTTTAGGGCTTGAGAACGAGGGTTTAGGGTTTGGTAACGAGGGTTTAGGGTTTGGTTATGAGGGTTTAGGGTTTGACGCTGAGGGTTAAGGATCCTCAGCCTTGGATCTCAAGCCCCGGAGGCTTAGGGTTTAGGGTTTAGGGTTTAGGGTTTAGAGTTGTGGCTTCTGTGATATTCGATATATGTTTATTTTCTATCGGTTAGTGTTAGGGTTTAGGGTTTAGGTTTTAGGTTTTAGGGTTTAGGGTTTAGGGTTTAGGTTTTAACTGAGATGCAGCTGCTCAGCTTCCCCACTAAAGGTGCAGCAGCAGCAGCAACAGCAGCAGCAGCAACAGCGCCAACAGCATGAATAGCAGCAGCAGCAACAGCAACAGCAGCAACAGCAGCAGCGTCAACAGCAGCAGCATCAAACAGCAGCAGCAGCAGCAGTAGAGGCAGCATCAACAGCAGCTGCAGCAACAGCAGCAGCATCAGCAGCAGCAGCAGTAGATGCAGCATCAACAGCAAACGCAGCAACAGCAGCAGCAGCAGCAGCAGCAAAACTGTGGAAGCAGGATTCTAGGCAAATAATAAAACAAAATAAAAAATAAATTGGAGCCCAAGGTGCTGCAGAAGGGAGCAGAGAAAAAACTCAGCAGCAGCAGCAGCAGCAGCAGCAGCAGCAGCAGCAGCAGTAACAGCAGCAGCAGCAGCAGTAACAGCAGCCGAAGCAGCAGCAGCAGTTGTACGCCGCTGCTGCAGCAGAAGCAGAAAGCAGCAAATACGGCGGCAACTGCATGCACTAACAGCAGCAGCAACAGCAGCAGCAGCAACTGCAGCAGCAGTCGCTGCAGCAGCAGCAGCAGCAACTGCAGCAGCGGCAGCGGTAGCTGCTGCTGCTGCTGCTGCTTGTAGGCTTTCTAGTATACTGAGAAGAAATTGGTGATTTGCTGCTGCTGCTGCTGCTGCCTAATCCCTTGGAACCCTAAACCCTAAGTTTGTCCAAACCCTAAACCCTGAAAAGCCAAAACCCCAAGTTTATGTAAACCCTAAACCCTCAACCCTTTAAACCCTAAACCCTAATTCTGTCTAAGTCTGAAACTCCCCTGAATGCTCTTTGGGCTAAAACCTGTGTCTGTCTAAACCCTAAATCCTAAATCCTCTATCCTAAACCCTAAACCCTAAACCCTAAACCCTAAACCCTAAACCCTAAACCCTAAACCGTAAAACCTAGACCTCTGGGGAGATCAGGGACGGCATGGGGGGTTGAGGTTTAGGGTTTAGGGTTTAGCGTTTAGGGTTTAGGGTTTAGCGTTTAGGGTTTAGGGTTTCAGCTTCAGGTTCTAGGGTTTAGGGTTTACAACCTAAGGGCCGGAGAGTAGGGTTTAGGGTTTACAGCTAAAGGCCAGCTTCTCGGGTTTAGGGTTTGATGATTAGGGCTAAGTCAAGGTCTAGGGTTTAGGGTTTAGGGTTTAGGGTTTAGGGTTTAGCGATTAAGGCTGAAGGACGTTGGGTTAAGGCCTAGCCTTGAAGGCCGAGGGCTTGGGATTTAGGGTTTAGGGTTTAGGGTTTAGGGTTTGAGCGCTTCGCTGAAGGGTTTAGGGTTTAGGTATGCTGGATTTAGCTGCGGTAGGCTTTTGCTGCTGCAGCAGCAGCTACTTGAACAGCAGCAGCAGCAGCTAGTTCTGTAGCTGCATCCGGTTCTGTTTAGCTGCTGCAGCAGAAGCTGCTGCTGCAGCTGCTGCTGCAGCTGTTGCTGCAGCTGCTGCAGCGGCGGTTCCTTCCACAGCAGCATGTGGTTCTGTTGCACTGCTGCTGCTGCTGCTGCTGCTGCTGCTGCTGCTGCTGCTGCTACTGCAGCTGCTGCAGCTGCTGCAGCAGCTGCTGCTGCTCTGGACTTCGTAATTGTGCACGAATAAATAAATAAATTAAAAATAAAAAATAAAAAATTAAAATTTTTAAATTTAAAAAGGCAACTTGGTCGGAAAAGCAAGAAACACGAAGGGGGGGGCGGGGTCGATTGAGGCTGGCGCTCGGTCTCAGCCTCCGCTCGATTTGCAGTTTCTCGTCGAAAAAAAGCTTAAATTGTTTAATTTAAAGTTTAAATGAATTTTAAACGAAGAATTAAATGAATTTAAAGCGCAAAGAGTTCAAAAAAGGCTTCAAACGCCGCAGGCAGAGCCCTAGGCGGGCTCTCGAGGCAGCGGCAGCAGCCGCTCGCCGCCTCCAGCCGTGGCCAGCCGCGTTTGTGCATCTTTTTGGCGTTTTTAAGTTTTTAAAAGTAAATTAAGGAATTAAATGAGTCAAAATAACACTTTTAGCGGTCTTTTAGGCGTAAATACACCCCGGAACTGCAGCAGCAGCAGCAGCAGCAACAGCAGCAGCAGCAGCAGCAGCGCCTGCGGTGAACACCGGCGTGGCGGCTCGAGCGGCTGCTGCAACTTCTGCCTCCTCTTTTCCCGTTTGTGGAGTTTATTTGAGCTGCAGAGGCATTTAAATAGAAATAAAAGGAGTTTTTATTGCAGATTTGCCTTTAGAGAGCCCGCTGCAGCAGCAGCAGCAGCAGCAGCAGCAGCAGCAGCAGGCGAGCGAGACTCCGTCGCTCGGCTCCCGCCGCCAGCTTCTGCAAAACCCTGCGCGCCTTTTCTTTCCCTTTGAAATAATATTTGCGACTCTTTTGTTTGTTTTCATTATTAGGGTTTATTAGCCGCGAGGAGCGGCGTGGGTCGGAGCCTAAACCCTAAACCCTAAACCCTAAACCCTCGACCATGGCGGCAGCAGCAGCAGCAGACGCCGCCGAGGACTTCGTCCTTGAAAGAGAAGACGAGGACAGCGGCAGCAGCCACATGGGGCCCCAGGAATACATAGATAAGGACATAGGAGAGCCAGCAGCAGCAGCAGCAGCAGCAGCAGCAGAGGCCCCCACCACCCACACCACCAAACCCAGACGCAGGGGCCCCACAAGGGTACCACTGGACTCTTACCAGTGGTTAGCTCTTGCTGCTGCAGTGGGGGCCCTAATGGGGGCCCTCTGGCTGCAGCTAGCTGGCCGCCGGGGGCCCCGGGGGGGCCCCCTGGGGGGCCCCCGGGGGGGCCCCCTGGGGGCCCCCAGGGGCCCCTGGCTGCCCCCAGAAGACCCCAGGTGGGTACTGGCCGACCTCAGGCTTGAGGGCTCTCGACTGCAGCAGCAATGGGACCAGGCAACAGCAGCAGCAAAGGGAGAGTTTTTGAAGACTTTGCGGGTGCAGGACAGCAGCAGCAGCAGCAGCAGCAGCAGCAGCAACGGCAGCAGCAGCAGCAGCAGCGGCGTCAGCAGCAGCAGCAGCGACGCGGACGCGAAGGAACCGCCGTTCGCTTTGCTGCTGCGGCCCGTCGAAGGGTTTGCTGCAGTAGTTCAGCAAGTCGCAGCAGCAGCAGCAGCAGCAGCAGCAGAAGCGGAAGCAGCAGCAGCAAAAGTCGCAGCAGCAGAAGAACGGGAGAAGAAAGAAGAGGCCCGAGGCGCAGCAGCAGCAGCAGCAGCAGCAGCAGCAGAAAGGCAACTCGCAGCTGAAGAAGCTCTAGCAGCAAAAGATAAACTCCGAGAAATCCAGCAGCAGCAGCAGCAGCTAAGAAGCAGCATGGCGCTGCTGCTCTCAGGTGTACATGCAGCTCGCCAGCGCCTCGGGGTGTACGTACAGCTGGAGAAGCTGCAGAAGGACACGGGAGTGAACTTCTTAGCTGCTGACCCTGCTGCAGCAGCAGCAGCAGCAGCAGCAGCAGCAGCAGCAGGAGAAGCAGAGGAGGAGGTGACCCTGCAGGAGTTCCTGGGGATGCTGACGGGCAAAAGTTCAGAGTCAGCAGCAGCAGCAGAAGACGAGGAGGACGAGGAAGCAGCAGCAGCAGCAGCAGCAGCAGCAGCAGCAGAAGAAGAGGAGAAGGGCAAAGCAGCAGCAGGGGAAGCAGCAGCAGCAGCAGGAGAAGAGGGAGGGTCCGCGACGGACGAAGCCGCAGAAGCAGCAGCAGCAGCAGCAGCAGCAAAGGCCGCAGCCGCAGCAAAACCCGCAGCAGAAAAGGCGCGGAAAGCAGCAGCAGCAGCAGCAGCAGCACCTGCAGCAGCAGCAGCAGCAAAAGTCCCCAAAAGCCTAGCAGCAACTTTTGCTGCTCTCTTCCTGCGGGGGCAGCTCGAAGCCCAAGCGGACTACACAGTGGCTGAAGCTTATATCCACTACTTCAGCAGCAGCAGCAAACTAGGCGCTGCTGCTGCAGCAGCAGCAGCAGCAGCAGCAGCAGCAGCAGCAGCAGCAGCAGCAGCAGCAGAACCCAAGGAATTCCCTCTTGCTGCTTTTTTCCAAATTGTAGAAGCAAAGTCAAAAATAAATGAAGGAAATCCTTTCGACGAAAACTTGCTGCTGCAGGCGCTCAGCAACTGGGGTGTACATACACTCCAAAAAGCATGCACGGATTTGCAAGAGTGGCAGCAACTTC